AAAAAGTAAACAAAGAGCCACTGAATATTAGAAGTGAAAGAAGAAAACTTCAGAATGAACAAGCCAATTGTCAGGACTAAGCGTTCGATAAACATAACTTGAAGTAATTCTCCATGCATCAAATTATTTCCACAAAGAAAAAAGAAGCATACACATTATTTCCACAAAGAAAAAAGAAGCATTAAGTTTTCATTTCCTGAATCAACCTTACAAAAAATGCCTTCCAATCCAAATCTGAGTATTTAGTGTTATTGTATGAGACAACTTGATGTACACATAACACCTGGAATATACAATCTATACCCAGATTAGAAAAGGGAACTTTTCCCACAAGTCATTACTTCACCAGAAACACCAAGGAACCATATATGAACGCAGGAAAGAACTCTATTTTACTAACACAAACAATTAAAGAACATTACTTTAGCATTTACCAATAATTAAGAATGCTATGATATGTAGTTACATAAAAACAGATTGAGCTAAGATGCTAGAAGTAGAACAGATTCATTGTACCAAACAAAGAAGAAAAGTAAATCCAAACTACAATCAAAAATGAAAAGAAAAAATTCCCTTCAATTAACCAAAAATAGTCCCATAGTTATCACTTCGGGCAAAGCACAAAAGAGACGGGAAGAAGAAATAGAAGTGATTACCCTCTTGGAAACAGAACGAATGTTTCGTGTTGCAACCTTGGAGAAAATTGAAGTGCGCAGTTCTGGAGGAAAAATCATTCAGCCAGAGCAATAAATATTTTGAGGTAAATGAGTATGCTATTATGCCTCATCTAAAGCTTGCCTAATTGCCTCATCTAATTTGGTCATTATTATTCAATTCTCCCCCTATCAAGTCCAGCTGTAGCTGATTTTGTACCAAAAATCTTTGGGAAGTAGCAAGTCCTTCCCAAGTGGGCCAAGAAGTAGAGGATACAATTAATCTAGGGGATTCACGATAACTAGGTAAAAAATTTTCCCTAAAAATCAACCGAAAGAACTAACCCTAGAAATCAACCGTTTTCTCTTCAATTTCCTCAAGAGCTAGTGAATTTGGTAACAACCTTGGTGCCTTCGGAGACGGCGTGCTTGGCCAATTCACCGGGAAGTACAAGTCTCACAGTAGTCTGAATCTCCCTCGACGTAATCGTCGGCTTCTTATTGTACCTGGCGAGCCTGGAAGCCTCCTGAGCCAATTTCTCGAAAATATTGTTGATGAAGCTGTTCATGATACCCATGGCATTGCTGGAGATCCCGATGTCCGGATGGACTTGTTTCAGCACCTTGAAGGTGTAGATCTTGTAGGTCTCGCTGCTCTCTTGACTCTCTTCTTCTTTTTGTCTCCGGCAGTGGCTCCGCCTTCCTTCGGGAGTTTCTTCCTGGCCTTTGGCTTCTTCTCTGCCGGAGCCTTCTCGGCTGCTGGGGCTTTCTCGGCCACGAGCTTCTTCTCAGCCGGCTTCTTCTCCGCCTTTGGTGCCATCGCTGCTTTTGAAGCTGAAATTAGAGAGACTTTGACGGGAAGGATAAAAAACGGGCTTCGATTTAAAGACTGGAGAGGGGAGATGTTTGAGAGAGAGTTCAACACTTAGAAAAGTTATTATTTTGCATCTACGTAGTACAAGAGACTTGGACAATTTTGCGCCTCTTTTTTTGCCTTGAATTTTAAAATTGCGCCACTTTGTTTTTGTCTTGAATTTTAACTAGATTTGGACATCATAATTCCCCCCCTTTTTACACAAGAAAAATTGGTGCAATTTTGTCTTTTATAATTGTATTTGAAATATAGATTTCATTTTTATTCATTATTTTTGTGTCACAATTTTAAAATTTTAGTATGATTAAAAATTTTAGTATGAGTGGCAAAATTTTTTAAATTCATATAAATGGAAAAGCATTTTAATAAAATTTAACTAGTTCTTATAAGTGCTAAAACTTTATATCAATTATAACTACTATTTATAAAACTTCACTATTAATCCATTATCTTCAAATAAGAAAAAAATGCACAATTCAACTAATACATAAAGTGTATTAGTTAATTAACTATGAAGTTTATGATTTATCCGCTTCGATAACCGATTCAATTTGAAAACTCTTATTTAAATTCATATCAAATTAACTAATAATCATTCTAAGTTAAGTAGTCACAAGTTTATTTACACTAATGAATTTTTTATTTTTAAATTATTTTTTATTCTAATGAAGTTATTACATATACAAGAAAATTAAACTAATAAGGAGGCTCGTAAGTATACAACAACTAAAAATCATTAGAGAACACATAATGATTACAAAAAATTAAGAGTAATAGTTGCAAAAAATAATAAATATTTAAAATCAAACAGTGATAAAACTAGTTGTCACTAACAGCTATATAATGTTATCAGTGACAACAATAGCAAAGTTGTCAAAGAAAGGTGCTATTATTACTGACGACTTTTAGAAAGTTGTCACTATTGCAGTTCCCGCTCTCTTCATGACTCCTGGCGGGAATCGAATTGTGACAACAATGCAAGGTCGTCACTGATGTGTTGGCTTCCTTGACTCGATTGTGACAACTTGCCGTATTGTGGTTAAAGGACCCCATTTTGTGACGATTTTTTTTCATCACTGAGAAATATTGTCACTAATGACCAAATTTCTTGTAGTAGAACAGACCAGAGGCGATCTCAGGTTGTTTTCTGCACCTACTAGACAGAGCCAAGAGTGTGATTCCAAAAGATCACCACAATAGTACAGTCGTCAGATTTGGGGTGAGCAATTTTATGAAATTTAGAGAGTCAATCAAATTCAACATGATCTTGTTAAGTTGTTTTAACTGGATGCTTATGTTAGCAGGCAACATCATGGGCACAAGGAAATGCATATCATAAAATTTTGCAGGCGGTAGACTTTGCCTCTACTCATAATATTTTTCTAGCTACAGGTTCTACATGTTAGCCTGCTGTTAGCCTCTACAGGTTCTACAGGTTCTACATGTTAGCCTCTACTCACAATATTTATTGACTGCTGAAACCCCCACTGTCGCGCGCACTGTCGGCGTCCTGCCTCGCGCCGCCAGCAGCACCTCTGTCTTCGCTCGCCGCTGCTGATCTACCTCTGCCTCACATCCGCTTCACCCACTTCACCCGCCACCAACGAGCAGCCGTTGCTCACTCACGGCCACCGCCGAAACTCCTCACGCGATTCTGGCACACCTGGCACCCACCACTGTCTCATTTCGTCTGGCTACCATCTACGGTGGAGGTAATTCGCCGTTGCCGCCCAATTTCTTAATACTCATTGGTACTGCCTGGGTCGTTCCATAGTTGATATTGTTGACGAGTAGAGTTTACTTTCTCAATTAGTGATTTTCCACCAGTGGTACTGGTTGGATTATTTTGCTTGGACTTGCTAATTCTTTTGGGTTGGGTGCAATTGTGCATTTAATTGGCCATCTAAAGCCACTTGTTGGAAATCTGGGTGAGCTACAATACTACATTGGTTTGACTGTCTGAGTAGCTGTGTTTATTGCGTTGTCACTGTCCCCTTGCTGCACTCCTATTGCTGAATATAAGTTAGCAATTTTTCTTGGCCAACTGGAGCCGTTTATTGAGATTTTAAATGTGTTGCAATGCTCTGATTATTTGTTCGATTTGGAGATGACTTTGTGAACATCACGTTGCTTGGGGATATTGCTTGAATTGCTGGATAACTCGCTGGGGTTTCTCTTGAGGTTTTAGTTGAGTTATTTCTGAATTGCTTGTTGATTACTTGCTGGAACCCTTTTGTTTGCTATTGGCTGGGTTACTACTGGGAGGTTTTCGCTTTGTTATTGCTGCTTTCTATACCTGTTAGATTTTCGGTTGCCTTGAACTTACTGTTGGGGGACATGGTGAGACCAAAATCATCCTCTAGGTCTAGAGCCTCTCGTTCTCAGCCCCCTCCACAGGCATCTATTCCTGTGAATACACCTACCAACCTACCGTACTCTTCTAATGTCCGAACCCGTTTGGGTAGCGGTAGGGGTGCTCAGGTAGATACCCCAGCTCGCTTTGGAGGGCACCTGACCTTCACTAAACCTGCGGATCAGCAGAGGTATGCCAAAGTCTGTGAGCGGCGTATCATACCTTGTAAGACTAGTGACAAATTAGCCATGATGGGCCTAGGCATACGAGAGGAGGTAGAGCAGATGTTTACAGCCATCGGGTGGCGCCCATATCTCAACATCTTCTGCCCCGCATTTGTCGAGCTAACTCGGGAGTTTTATGCTACCTTCGAGTTTGAGTTGCCCTCGAGGTTCACCGCTGCGACGCCTAATGTCATTCGCTTCCGTCTGATGGGTCGGGAATTTAATTTTTCGATTACTGAATTTAATTTGGCATTTGGGCTCATTACTCGAGAGTATGCTGAGACGAGTGAGTATAGTGAGAGTGCCTGTGACTACGTAGAGCCATTCCTCTCCCGCTACCATGATGTATGGGAGGACATGTCCGTCGATAGGCAGCGCTACGATCCTTCCCGGTCTAGGAGTTCCTTTCTTAAGAACACTAGTGCCCGCTATGTGCAGCGATTCTTAGCCTACAGCTACTCAGGGCGCAAGGACAGCTCCGGTATACTCTCCCGCCCCGAGTTTTTCTTCCTCTGGAGTATGAAGAATAACATTAAGGTCAACTTGGGGTGTTGGTTGGCGGCGCAGTTCAAGACGGTTTTGACCAAGAAGAACAAGCCTCTGATCCTTGGGTCCTTTATCACTCACTTGGCGACCGAGCTAGGGGTTCTTAACCTGGAGGACCATGACTTACATTTGGCATTCGAGATGGAGCTCTTGGATGCGGATTGCTTAGAGAGGATGGGAGTCGTCGAGCGCTTGCCCGATGGTTCCTACCAGTTTACCCCTCCGGGACCACCTCGAGCTCCGGGTGCACGCCCTACGCCCCGACCAGGACCCTCTTCCTTTCATGAGTCGGCCGAGGACACGGCTGGGCCGTCATCTTCTGCACCACCTCCACGCCGTGGGACTTCTGAATGACAGCAACTCCGGGAGCAGGTTCAGGATTTGCAGGCCCGGATGACCAACGTCGACGCCAATGTCGCCGGCATAGCACAGAATTTGGTGCAGTTTCTGATGCATACAGGCTATGCACCTCCGTTTCCACCTCGCCCTCCGCTATGACCCGATTTCAGGGAAGTTTGGCTGATTCCCCTCTCACTTTTGCTTCACTTTTGGTTCTTATTTGTCATATTGAGGACAATGTGTCCTATAGGTGTGGGGGGGATCTAAAGTTATGCTAGTGTGCATGTTTTTAGTAGTTTTCAGTTTTCAGCTTTCCATTTTAGTAGTTTTTAGTGTTTTTAAGTTTTTAGTTTTGGGTTTTAGTTTTTAGCTTTTTTTCGCTTTATTTTCTTTCGTTCATTCTCTTTCAATCTTGTTGGTTAATGTTACAAAAAAGAAAAAAGAAAAAAAAAAGTCAAAAAAAAAGTGAGTTTTTAGTTTTAGTAGTTTTTCGTAGTTTCATTTCTAGTTGCTTATTTTCCGTTCTTTCTTCTTGGTGCTTACCTTTCATGTGAATGCTAAAATTGAGATGTGGACTTATTGACTCTAAGTCTACTTTTGCCAAGTTTTTAAAATACAAAATGTATCGGGTTAGTGTGGTTGGGTCCTGAATATCTCCTTGGTGAAATTTGAACTGCTTGACTCTTTCGAGTTCTTTGTTAACTTTTCTAGGCATTGGGAATGACTGTTGGCATTTTAATGTGAACTGATCCAATATTGACTCCAGTTCTCCATGTTTGGCAATAATGAGGCGAGCTGCCCCTGTGTTTAGTTGTTAGTGCTGTTATTTTGCGTTTCTGCTTTGATTAGCTGTGAATAAGCTTGACTGTACTCCTCTATTGGCTACTACTGAGTAACCGGGAATCTGCACCTAAAAGTGTCGATTCTCGCGTCAAAAGGTGGTACTTAATATGAGTACGTGGTTGCATAGCGGTAGGAGCTGAGTAACCGGGCTCCTTCATCTAAAAATGTTGGAGTTCGCGTCAAAAGGCTCCGGCGGCTAGAGACTAAGTTTTCGTGTGTCAAATATTATTAGGTGCTTTAAAAAAAAAGACAAAAAAAAGGAAAAAAAAGAGAGAATACATAATAGGGAAGCTTGCTGGTTTATGGACTCCATATGGGGACTTGTGTGAATATTTGGACCATTAGCTGATAAATGCTGCGTGTCATTCCTTTTCCTTAGACTAGTTAATTTGGAAATTGAAGGAGTTTGCGGTAGAGGCTAACTGGGGGGATGTTTCTCGGATTTTAACTACTAGTGCCCGATATATGATTTTCTCTTGAATCTCTTGGCAATGTGGTAGATTAGAGTGATGACCACTGTCAACTTTTTGGGGTCTGTCCACTTTTCTTATGCTTGAGGGCAAGCATGGTTTAGGTGTGGGGGGAATTGATAGGGTATAATTTGTTAGTAATTTTATTATTAATTTCCCCTTTCATCCCTGATAAATATTGTGTTAATTGCAGATATCTACTTATATTTGGTTTGTGGCCTTTATTTCAGGGATAGAACGGAAAACTACCAAACATGAGGGATTTTCTGGAGAAAATTGAGTCTTCAAGCGAGTCACAGGCCAGGGCCACAGTGCTGAAAAGAACTGGACTCCCATCCCTTTATTCTTGTTGACCAAGAGGATTACAACCGGAGACTTTGGCAGAGAGAACTTGAAGGCTTGGGCCTTTGACTTCGGTGGGGGCCACGGAGGAAAGGAAAAGGGCTTTGGTCCTTTGGTTCTTAAAGGAAAAGCAACGTACAAAGCCTAAGGAAACTAAGAAGAAATGGGGCAGCTTGTGGCCAATTGGTGGGGACCACTGGATATCTTTCCTTTGGCTTTAAATAGGGAGCTAACGTACGAAGACGGACGGCCAGCTTTTAGTTTTAGTTTCTTAGCCTAGTCTTTAGTTTAGTTTTTCTTTCTTTTGATTGGCCTCTGACACACGCCAGGTGTTCGACAAAATTCCCCAACGGGAAAAACACCTTTTATTCCTTGCTTCTTAATAGAAAACGCTATGCCTTTGCAATCCATTAATTCGTGTGGTGATTTAATTATGCGGCGTGGTTAAATCTTCCATCTAGTCAAGGGTCAACTTGACGGCGCAGTCCCGAAAATCTGTGAGATCTAATTAGTTTTCACGTGTTCCTCTATTTATTAATATTTGCACGTTATCTGCTTGAATTTTCATGGGATTATTTTATTAATTGGATGTCAAGGGCCCGATGTTCAATGTGATTTATTAATCTCGTGCCAATTTAGTCAATTAAATCCGTAATTGTTTGATTGATTAATGTTAGTGGCAACTGGTGTGTTTACACATTAGGGGAACGTGCAATCTAATTTAAATAACCCTCGTAGCGTGTTATTGGTTAGGGCTAGGTTTTTCTAGTTATTAATGCAATTGGAAAATTAATTCCTACGGTCGTACCTAGGAGTACTTTTCTGGTTAGAGGTGATTAATGGTCGTACCTTGGTCATCTATAATTTAAGGAAAAATTGGTCGTCAGACTATAACTAGCCTATTAATACATTAAGTGAACCTCTCTTGCATCAATGATCGGATGATTGGATTGTGCCTGAGTAGTTGTATCCTTGGCTAGAATTTATTTATTCTTGATTTAATTCCTGTTTTACTTGTGCTAGTGATTTATTTATTTTTAATTAAATTGTTTAATTATTTTTAGTTTCATTCCGGTGAAATCCCCCCGTATCAATTGGACTTTAAAAAGAGACAGATATCCCCAGTCCCTGAGGAGACGACCCTACTTGCCACTGTCTACTATTTAGTAATTTTTGTCTATTAATTAATTCTGGTATATCGGGTTAAGCAAACTCTTCGGGAACAGGGTGAATCAAGTAACCCATTGCACACCTAGAGTCCCTGCTCCAGTACCTAGGATTGATTATTGACTGCTTTTAGTGGTATATAGGTTCTATATTTATTATTATTATTGCACAGGCTGACGACCTGTCATACATGTTAGCCTGCTGTTTCACCAACATTTTGCTTGCTGCAGATAAGAAGTTTTCTCAAGAATGAAGGTAGCTTTTACTATGAAGTTGATGATGTTGCCATCGTAGATAGAACACAAGAAAGTGTTTACAAATGGGTATGTTGTTTGAAGACTATATATCCAGAACTTTTGCATCAATTATATGTTCATCGTTTACATTTATTTGACATAGTTTTTGCCTGAGCCGTGAACTATATGGAAGACTGCTTTATCATTTTAGAATCTCATCTGAGTTGTTACTAAATCATTCTTCTGCTTTAGTTTTCTTGCAGCCACTGTATTTTTTCTGTGCTGCAATGAGCTTATGTCTTTGTTCTCCTTGATGTTGTTGAAGTACCAATATGCTCATTAATCTCAAAATTTGCCTATTAGAGGAATCCCTGACAAGTTTTTAATGTGGGGAGGCAACAATTTGGCTTAATTCCAGAAAATTGTTTTTGGCAATTCAATCTGAGAAGATTCAACTAAGCGGATGTTGTTAGCCTGTGATTTTTGGAATGCTTTGGTGAAAAATATGCAGCTGCAAAACATGAAAACACCACTGTGCTACATCTGCCTAAAGAGGGATCACTTGCCCTTTCATTAGCCGAATATTGGTTTTCTTCAAGTAAATTAAAAATTCATGAAGGAATAACTTCAAAAAATTCATTGTAACATACATGGCCATATGATCAATATATATAGAATAAAACAAATGAAGGAAAACGGATCAATAACGGAAACACTTTGCATCATCCAGTTCTCTACACGAGTTAAAATTCAAATGATATATGAGGTTATGGGATTTTAAAGTGCATCCTCTGGGAGTTGTGGCTTGTGGAGGTTCAGTCGGTGATCCTAGAAGCTATCTCTAATATATCATATGTAATGCCTTGTAGATAGGGATACGTATTAGAACACAATAGATTAATCAATCAACATTCAGAGGCTTACTCCAGCCTCCGGTTTTCATATTATATCCTATTCTTTTGTGCAGATTACCACAAATTATCTGTTAGGAAATTTGGGCAAGGACTGTTCAAGTTCAGTTGGAGTGATTGATCTTGGAGAAGAGGCTGTCCAGATGGTTTATGCTATGTCAAACACAAATGCCTTAAATGCACCAAGAACATCAGTGGGAGACAATGTAGATGTGCTGGAGAAATATCTAAATGGAAGAAGATATCATCTCTACACCAAAAGGTGATAAAACATGATCTGCATTTTGCGACATGTCTTCCCCTCATCGACCATATAATTGTTTCAACTCCCATTCTCCTCTGAGTCTATTTTGGTGAAACTGACCTCCTATTTTGCAGGTGTATCCCTCTTATGTTTCATGATGTTTTTCCTGTTTTCTTCTTCCCGTTGTAAATATTGAATGCTTTTCGTGATATTTCAACACATTGACAGTTGTGAGAAGTATGGCATACTCTCGGTTCGAGCCGAAATTCTCAAGCTCTTCAATAACACTAGCAATCCATGTGTTTTAGAAGGCTTTCATGGTTAGGAATACTTGAGCCCTGAATTCTAGTTTGTAGTGAGCACTACGGTATTTTTCTGTGTTTCCTCCTTTCTTTGTGTAGATATGCCTTTTTGTGCATCATCAGGTCAATAGGAAAACCATATTAGCTCCCATGCTGACTAGCAAACTATAATGAACATATGGAACATTAGTTTCATATTTATCTGTTTGTCTGCACTAATTGAAGTGTAAAGCATGTCAGCCAATGGGTTTTTGTCTCATAATCTCATTGAACATACCTCATTCGCTCTTAATTCGCCCAGGAACTTACAGATATGGAGGAGAAAAATATTATGTAATTGTAGTGACGGAGCCAGGATTTTTTTCTTGGGAGGGCCAAAATTTTTTCGAACAAAATTATCTTAATACGTTATGTTCAAACTAATTTGTGTTTATTTAAATATATGACATCTTAAAATATAAAATTTTAATTTTAATTATAAAGGTATGTCTATTTCATAAATATGTAGCATAGTCATAACTAAAATTAAGATAAGAAATAACATTTGATTAAATATCTTATAACATCACAAACCACTTAAGTTGCACATTATGAGAAGATGCTCCAATATGTCACCTGTGCAAATACAAAAATATAACTATGTAATATAAATATAACTATTTTCAATTAAAAAAAAGATAAACGTTATGTTAATATACCTTGAAATTTCATCCTCTTTTATTAAGAGTAAATGGAGTTTTACGTTCTTTCATAGAACTAAATTCATCTCTAATTGAATCGCTGCTAAATTTTCGAACAACTTCCTTTTTTTATGTATATTGTTAGACAGTCATTCAAGAAATTATCTTTTATCTTGTTTTGGAGTTTTGTTTTGATTATATTCACAATTGAAAATGTACTTTCTATAGTTGTAGTTGATATAGAAAGAGTGAGAACAAATATAATCAATCTGCCAATAACAGGATATATCACTCAATTTCTTGTCTTCATCAAGCCTTCAAGTAATTATTTGTATATTTGTATATGAGTCAATAAGAGAATAGATCACTAATTTCAAATTTTTTATCAATTAGGCTAAGGTGTATATTTGTATATGGACCAATAAAGTAATTATTTTTATTTTAGCCCATTGATAATTATGAATTGAATCTTTTATTATAATACATCAAATTGGGTCAATTTATTATGGATCATCAAATTATATGTTTAATTTTTTGAATGTTAAATAATTAGTACAATAAAAAATAAATAACTTTTTTTTGAAGAAAAAATTAAATCAAAAGGTGGCTAATTCATACACACACACACACACACACACATATATATATATATATCTATATACTCTCATAATATAAACTAAAATTGTAAAAAATTAGGGGGTCAACTTTGACTTATATATATATTTACATATTATGAATTAAAATTTTTAAAACTTAGGGGGGTCCATGGCCCCCCTCTGCCCCCCGCTCCCTTTGGCTCCATCATTGTGTAACTGCTTCTCCATCCGGTTCAAGCATAACTAGATGCAAGGAATTAGTCAGCCAGGCTCTGGGACTCAATAAAATACAGAAATGCAGATGTGGAGAGAAAGAGAGAGATGGAGGGGTGCCTGATCAAGATTAGCTGTACATATCACCAGAATTCTTTTACAAGTCTGTTCAGGTATGCATTGGGCATGCATTATCATTACTGATGCATCTTTTCTTCCCTCGGCATTAATGCTGACCTCTGTAATTTCTATCAACAGCTTGGTCTTATCGATCGCAATGCAGACGCAGCTGTAATTCGTGCAACAGATTATGCGAACGAAGCTGATCGGGCTTGCAGGACAAAAATGCGAGATGCAAAATCCAAATACCGATTGGAGGATCCTAACCTTCCTTATATTTGCATGGATCTAGTGTACCTGTATACTATACTGGTAGATGGATTGGGTACGTAATTTAAGCATCTCAATCTCTTGTTCGTACGTTTATCCTTCAGATTAATCAGGATTCAGGAAAGATGCTGCAATTCACAGGTCTAGATCCTTGGCAAGAGATTAAATTGCTGCATCAGATAACATACCAGGATTGGTTGGCTGGACCAACATGGCCACTGGGCTATGCCATTGATGTTGCCTCATCAATCACAGAAAGCCAAATGACAGCCTAGTCATATGGGGTTTAATTTTGTTGTTATTTTACACTTGTTGTTTATGTTCCTATAGTTATGTCCATTGAAATTTGAAGAGTGCACTTGTGGTTGATCATGACAATTATATAGCCCCTTATTTCCAATTTGCTGTCCCTTTTTCAAACGCGTTGATTAGTATATATAGCCATTTCTGGCTCATTCTACTATTGAATTTAAAAATATCCTAAAATATATCCCAAAAATACCACTAAAAACATCTACAGTAAAAGTTTTTCATATACATTATTACAGCAAAATATTTCAAAAATATCCCAAAAAACAGCTAATCCAAACAGAGCCTAAATTTCACCATTTCCATCTAATGATGTTAGTATTAATTAGCTTTATGTCCCACATTATGCATGACAATTACAAATAATTCAAAATTTAGAATAAAATACTTATAAATTTTTTCATAGAAAACAATTTAAAATTTTTACAATTACATGCAATTCAATGATTATTTTTTAAGTTAGTTTAATAAAATATTTTCTACTTAAAATATAGAAATTTAAATATTTGAACTAAACTAACTAATAAGTAGTATTAGATAACATTAATTAAATTTATTAAATAGTAGTTATCTTTAAAATTAACCAATATTATTCCAAATGTCTTCAGTTGGTTGTATTTACTTCTTTTTTTTTATCATTAAGGATAAATTACACTTTTCTCCCCAATGATTTAGCTCTTATCCACCTATACTCTCATATAATTTCAATAACTATATTTGACCCCTCATAATTTGGACTAAAATATCAAAATGACAAGACTTACCTTCTGTTATAGAGTCGACTAAAATATGAAATTTATTTGTAAACCACGAGGGAGTTATGATAGATTTTGAAACCATATAAGGCTATAATAAAAACTGCTAAATCATAGGAGATTAAAGTGTATCGTATGCTATATTAAATTTTTGTCCACTTCAATCATTACAGTTTCTAGATGAGGATAATCTTGACATTTCATCTAATTTCATTACAGAGGTGATTTTCCTTATTTTGACACTTTAATCCAAATTTCGATAATGTTATTTATAGATGTTGTAATTATAAAGAGTTATGTGCGAAGCCACTAAATCGCACGAGGGTAAAGTATAATTTAACCATTTTTATTCTATATTATCGTTGACTTTGTCCTTCTTGATTAAGAACTCGTATGAATTTTTAACAAGAATAAAAACAAAATGAAAACCCACCTTCACGTGGTAGGAGATTTGGTATGGCCCCTACCCGTTAATAACTAGTTCGCAATCTGAAAGAGATTTAGTGAAAGATTCTTGTTCCAATGAAATCCAATCGAGAGCCGCGTAGCATGTACGCTCAAATTGACGATTGGTGCTAACCACATTTGACCGGGCTCATTTAATTAACAAAAGGGTAAATTACATGCAATTAACTTTGTACTCTTGTCTCACTTTGTCGGCTTTGATTTTATTTATTATCAATTTACCCCTTTTTTTTGGTACCTTGAGGAACCAAAGTACCCCTTCAATGTCATGCCAAATTCATAAGTAGGGTTCAGTTTTGAGTAGATTTTGAGAAAGGGGAATCAACTAATATTCACTCAGTTTAAAGAATATTGTAAGCCTTGCGAAATTACCTAGAAGCCTTATCTTTCTTCTTCCAATGATAATTGTACCTTTCTTGGCTTTTTTTTTTTTCAATCATTTTTTCCCTTTAAATCTTTCTCTTCCCCTTCATCATCTTCTTCTGGCTACCACTATCACTACCCTTTAAGATGGCATATTTACAAATTATGCATTCAATTTTTTCAAAAGTTGAGCTGAGGATTTTAGTCAACCATAGTGACATTGAAGGCAAACAAACAAACAATTTTAATTTGATCTAACAAAAGTGCCCCCAAACAATAAATAGTAAATGTTTTTATAATGAGTGTTCATTGGGCATGTATTAGTGCACCAAATCCATTATATGTGTGTGTGTGTGTGTGTGAGTGCATACAATTACATTGATTGTCCCTTCCTTGTGCTTAAACATTTTTGCTAATATAATTTTGTTTTTAGTTTTTTTCCAAACATTAACACTTGACACTTTAAACAAATCCAAAAAAGTACACACACACACACACATATAATGGATAAGGTATACTTTTTCTAATTGATGCCCATAGCGCATCAAATCTATAACCATGTACATGTAAATGCATACATTGTTATTGATGGTCCCCTCACATTTGAATTTTTGTTATATCATTTCATAATTTTTCCAAAAAAAAAAAAAACCTAAAATCTCAGACTATAGCATTAAAAAAAATACGCATCAGAAAACTCAAAAACTAAAAAAAAATCTTAAATATCAGCATGTAATGCTTCATAACACCATGGAATCTTTCTTTTTTTCTAATTTATTTGGGGGCCAAGAGGGGGGTTCGTCAAACCGCGGAATCTTCTTTACTTGCGTGTTGGTTCTTTCTTGATATTGCACTCAGTCTTAATTGGAAGCTTTCCTCCTCGAACCTGGAAAATTTTGCATTCTTGACCCGGCGAACATTTTTTCCTTCTCATTGGTAGAGGAGAAAATAAGCAACAACAAACCCGAGATTGACCTACATTGCAGAGAGTAACAATAAAATGGCAAAACTAAATTAAAATTAGAAGGCAGACGACTTTGACTTTGAGGAAAATAAACTACTGTAGTATTAAAAGCAACTTCACAAGTAAATAAAAAAAAAAATTGACTTTAAAGTCAAGGACATTGTAACACGCTGCAGTTTCCGGCCGGGGCTGAAAACCCTATAAATGAAGTAAAGATTCTTTGCAATTTTTATATCAACTCATATTCATCTAGCAAAAGAAAAATCATGACAGACCCTTGTGTGGAATTTGCTCTCGCAAAGCTTGATGCTTTTCTAACGGGAGAATTGCAGTTGCCAAAGAAAGTTGATACTGGGATCAGGACTTTGAGAAGTGAACTGGGTACTATAACAGCATTTCTGAGTGCAGCTCATCAAAGAGCGGTCCAAGATCAACAAATTCTGGATTGGGTTCGAAAGGTTCAAGATGCAGCTGATGACATCATCGACATTCTTGACCTTTTTGACCATCACAAGGCAGAAAATGGCAGGGCATTATCGGTGACAAGGCGGCGGGCATACCGGTCAATTGCCGATCAGATAAATGATATCAAATCAACTCTCGAGGAAATCAACAAGGGTAGAGAAAGATACCAACTTGCAAATTCGTCCCAAGCTGCCTTACCACCAAGTCCAACTACAAACCGTGTTTACTCACATCTTCATCCAAGGATTGCTCCTTTGTTCCTTGCAGATGCTGACGTCGTGGGCTTCGAGGAAGATAGGGACATGCTGATGGCGTGGGCACTGGATATGGTGGATGAGCACAAGGTCATGTTTGTTGTGGGCATGGGTGGATCTGGCAAGACTACTCTTGCCAAGCAAGTATTCGAGGCAGTAAAACAAGACTTCGGTTGCTCCGCATGGATCAGTGTTTCAAAGTCCAAGAAGAAATTGGAGATCTTGCGGAACATGTTAGATCAACTATGCAGATGCAGCTCCAGGGCGGAAACGGCCCCAGCTCCCCAGCAGCAAAGCTCGGAACACTACATCAACCTCATTAGGGAGTATTTGCTGGATAAGAGGTATGTAATCGTCCTCGATGATCTGTGGGCTGATGATGTTTGGAGATCTATTATGTTAGCATTGCCAAGAAGGAATAGGAGTAGAATAATCATCACTACGCGAAGAGGGGATATAGCCTATTCACTGAAAGATGGATCCGTTGATGTCCATCCCATTCAGCATCTATCTCTAGAAAAGGCTAAGGAACTCATTCACAGAATCGCCTTTCCAGGATCTCGTATATGCCCTCCAGCTTTAGCTACACTGTCCAATGAAATTCTAGGAAAATGTGAAGGGCTACCATTGGCAATCACTGAAATTGGTCACCTTTTGTCAACTAAGGGGGAAAGGGAACCTGAATGGAAAAAATTGCGTGATAGTCTTGCATCAGAACTGACAAGCCATGGCCGGCTTGCAAATATTGCAAAAGTGTTGATTCTTAGTTATGATGACTTACCTTACCATCTTAAAAACTGTTTTCTGTTGATGAATACTTTTCCCCCTAATCACCCCATCCAGCGCACAGAGCTAATACGGTTATGGATAGCAGAAGACTTCATCACAGAAGGGAACAATGGAAAAGAACTCGAAGATTTGGGGGAAGAATACCTGAACGAGCTCATTCAAAGAAACTTGGTTCAGGTGTGGCAAATGGACATCGATGGGAGACCAAGAACTTGTCATGTTCAAAATATTATTCATGAGATTGTTCTCTCACAGCTTCAAGATGAAAACTTTTGTGAAGTTTATCCGGATCAAGGTACGTTTGACATCAGTAAGGAGAGGGTCAGGCGAATATCGATTCATAAAGGTAATCTAGGCCAGCTGTGCCCAAATCTTCGTGCTCGCGCTTTGTTAAAGTTTGGCCGATCAGCACCATGCCAGCACTCCATTCCAATTGGCTATTCAAGCTTAAAGATGTTGAGGGAATTGCATCTGGAGGGTGCAAACTTGGACATGTTTCCTGCAGACATTGAAGAACTATTGTTGTTGAGGTACTTGTGTTTGAGGAATACAGGAATCAGAAGCATTCCGAAATCAATAGGAAAGCTTAAGCACCTTGAAACCTTGGACCTCAAACAAACATTAGTCAGAACGCTGCCAAAAGAAATATGCCATCTTTCTAAGCTTCGTTACTTACTTGTTTACAGATATGACAATGAAGATTATGTGGCATTTAACACAATTAAAGGATTTGAGGTCGCAGGAGAGATCACGTGGTCGGCCAATCTTCGCAAGCTACTGTTTGTGCAAGTCAATAAAAATCACAAAATCATTGTTGCAATGCGAGGCCTCAGAGAACTAAGAAGGCTGGGAATCATGGGTTTGCGCAAAGAAGATGGAAGGATCTTGTCTGAGACCATTCAAATGCTGCC